CCAATTTTGAAACATTCATGTCATTCCATATCTCACACAAGAATAAGTGTAGTATATAAGTAGGTACGATTGAAATTTCTCCGTTCTTAATCAAAAAGTGGTCTCTATGATGAACAAAATGAAGGAAATAAGGCTGAGATGGTTCAAATATGTTAAAAAGGAGGTGCGCGGATGTACTAGTAAGGAGGTGTGATTTTGGCCATAACAAATTTTAGGAAAGTTAGAGGTAGGCCGAAAAAGAGCCAAGGGGATATGATTAGACAGAATATGGCTCATCTACAACTTACTAAGGACATGAAAACCCTAGATATATAGGTTAAAGTATAAAGGTCGTGAATTAGAATAGAAGAATAGCAGATAGTCGAGCATTAATTATCCTACTTTTATGAGGAGAGGCAGGGGCTTAGTCGATCCTCTACTCATCTTCTCCTTAATTAGTAGTGTTCACACAACATCTTATATATTATTCATTTCTTATTACTATTATTGTTTCATTTACTTTGTTTATTTTGTCATTTCAATTTGTTATCAATATTGTTTTCCTTTAATCCTGCTTTGATAACTTCCTTCGAGTTGATGATATATTGAATACAATTTTTCTATCTAAAAAATTAGAGTAAGATATGCATATATTTTACCTCCCCAGTATGCAAGGAAATACAATGTATAATCACTGGATAATCTATACACAATCAATGTGTATACTTTATATATACATTTATTATACATCGAATTGAGTATATACCCACGATAATTACAAACTATTACGTAAGGGATTGCCGCAATTCCCCCCTTAGGCTTCGATAGACAAGTCAAAGGTTTTTTCGACTGGCTAAAAATATTAAGATCACAAAAAATAAAATAAAAAATATTCATAGGCCCTTGGCAAAAAGGTCAATGTTTATACAATAGTTATAGTTTGGACTTGAAAAAAAATGGATAGGAAATTACTATTTTTGGTGAACTTAGGTGACCAAATATATATATGCTTTAAAATATACTTCTTATCTGTTTGAAGTGGTAGACAAGAATTTAAATCCACACGAAAATACACGTATTTATTTTCGTTATTGTTTTAATTACTTGAATTCTTTACTCTTATCCATTTAGCACCATTATATAATTGATAGGGATGACTACATAGTTGGGAAAAAGAAAAAGAAAATAGTTGGGAGGAAAAGACGAAGGAAAAGAAGAAATGCTTACATGAAATTATTGAGCGACTAAGCGTTTACCTGACACGTAACATGTCATAATTCAATACAATAATAATAATAATAATAACATATCCAAATATAATCTCATAAGAGAAGTTTGGAGAAGGAGTGAATCTTACTGTTATACAATAAAGAAGTTGTTTCTGACATGTTATAATCTAACATTCGAAATTTGAGATTTTGATACTCATTCGTGTTTATCATGCAATTCGAGTATTTTCAAGAACTTAGTGAAAAATCAACAAAAGAAAATAGGAGAATAAATGATTTAAATTATATGCGTTTGACAATATATTTTTCTCAAAATGTTACAATAACTTATTTAACATGTACTTTAACTTACTTGATACATCAATTGGATATTATTTTGTTCCCAATAAAACATGATTTGAAAATACATGGACTCAACACCAAAATACAAAATTGATCTTTTATTTTCCCTCTAACCAATCATCAACGACCTTTCGATTTTATTTAGTGTAAGAATTGAACATATTTTAAACTTTACCTTATATCTTATTCTCAATACAGAAAATAAAACACTTGATATTAGTGTTTTATTTTATTAATCATGATTTTATTAATTAATCCTTATATATATATATTAGTGTATATCACTTAAATTCGAATTATAATTCATTGGGTTGGGCCATAATCCTACCCACCCATTCCCAATCATGCCTTGTTGCCCTATTGGGCCCTAGGCCTGAAATTCAGTAAGTTAACATGAGTGGCCCAATGGAATTCTATTGTAAAAATAGACACTTCCACAGTATTATTTTTTAAATAATAGCCATTGGCTATGGAGTACTAATTCCATGGGTGAAATTCTATGATAATCTCCTAAGAATTTGATTTGTGGAATTTGGAAATGTATTAAAATGACTTTTTAATTATAGGAGCTAAAAAGTGGTTATTTGCAGTGTAAACTTACATTATTTGCTATGTCAATCAGATACAATATTTCGGTTCACAACATAGATAAATTATTTATATTATAAATGTATAATTTCAAAAGTTTAATAAGTTCAGTGTAAAGAACTTTTTAGATTTTAAATAATGAATTTGTCTCGTCTCTCATATGTCATGAATTTCCCACATTTAATTTGATAAGTTTATTGGAAAAAATATTTCAATGCTTACTAAGACAAATATCTTAATTGGTTAGGGTTGTATTTAGATTAAAATTTATGGCATTTTTCCCTTTATTTATTTCTTATTTGATGTCTGATATTTGCTTTGGGTATCAACTAATCCTGATTTGTCCCATTTTAAGTTTATTAATAATGAAAACACTCTTATCATGATGTTTTTCATGTATAGGTCTCGAATATGTAACTTCTTGATTATGTGGAAATCCTATTTATATTAAAGCAACTATTGGTGGTAAATATAAATTATTCATTGAAGGAAGTGGCCATTTTGGCCAATAAAACAAACATGATTAGATTTACCTATCAATGTCAAGAATATGTTCTTTAATATGTAGAAAATTATTGGGTTAGGTGTGATTATAACAAGCTTAATGAAGACAAAGACAATAGTTAGTACACTTTAATATAATTGACATATATAATGGTGACCCTTGAGAGTCACCAAAAGATGTTATATCTATATGTCCCAAGTTAAAAAAAAAATATAGTACTAATTTTAAAAGTAGTGAATATGAATTCGCTTTTTGTAAAAGTTCTAATATATCATGAATCTAGATATTTTTTTGTTCATATCTAACGAGTTTACAATTATTATTATTTTGTCTCGATCAATACTAACTTACACGCTTCTACATTTTAGAGTACTAAATTCAAAATAATTGATGAGCAATTGGTCGATTCATTACACATTTCTTCCCAACTTAGTAGAGCACGATTATAAATAACACAAAAAGCTTCAAAAAATGAAGAATAACTAAGTATGTTTGTGTGTTGCACAATTTTTTTTATATCTAACACTATAATTTTTAGGTAAAGGGGTCAATTATATACCCCTTCAAATCAATTGCATATTACAGAAATTTATTTATGTACATCATATAATTTTCCGACATAATTTTTTCTAACATCTATATGTTACCTTGCCCATTTTGTTTCATCATGTGTCTATAATGCTAAACTTGTATCAATAGTGTAGAGTTTCCTACGACGGGGGGGGGGGGATTTACAATATCAATTATAGGAACTTGATAAAGTTTAATAATTTTAATCTTATATTTCTTTTTTAAAAAATATTTATTATATTAGATAGTTTATTTCGAATCTAATAAAAAGAACAAAATGGGATAGCATGCATCTTGTGACTTACATAAAGTAAAAAAAGAAGCAATAGCGTTTCTCTCAAGACTTTGACCATTACTAAAAGCTTTCATATAGTGCTAATTCAAAATATCTTGTAAAGTCATGCAAAAGGTGGTGCATGTTTATTTGTTTCTACTTGATAAAATATCTAAAGGAATCATTCGAGTGAAAAACAGATCGGTGTATAAAGTATTTCGTATTTATCATAAAGTCGATAAAGGGTAGCACACGATTTAAGAAAGTATAATATAGATAGTCTACATTGGCATAACCATTTTTGGCCTATTTACAAATGCATGCTTGAATATAAAATTGGATGTGTGATGAGATAATAAATGATATTTCTTCCTCTTTAATTAGAGGTTTTAGGTTTATACCTAGGGAATACTTTCTTGTGTTAATGTGTCTATATATAGTGTGAATCTAAATTTTCGAATCAATTGGTACAAATAACGGATGACTTAAACTAAATTTGCTGAAAGAATCATCTAGGATATGACGAAATAAATAAGATCTTTCATTTTTAACTAAAGATCAGGTTTGTGTCTTGAGTTAATAAGGACTTCCTCTTTTTATTGTGTCCTATACGATACAAATATGAATTGCTCGAGTTAATAAGATACGATAAGATAAATGAAATTCTTAAATAAAGGTCTCAAATTTATGCACTGAAAATGAAAAAATCTTTAATAACGATCTCTTTTTTTCTTTAGAACATCATATACAATGTGAATTTTAAATTAATTGAATCAATAAACACCAATTAACACAAGAAAAAAGAAAGGTCCATTTGCTTATCTGCCAACCACTTCCTATATAAAAAGCTGGTGATATCTTCATTAAAAAAAAAAAGTGAAAGTGAAAGCTTTTAAAGAATCTAGAAAAAAAAATCCATTGTATAACTTTGATGATTAATTAATTTTAATAATTAATTTACTATATGGAAGTGGACAATATTTATATATGCAGATCCATAAGAAGATATATATGAGATTTTTCTAAGTTAAAGTAATCAAAAGAAAATTGAAATTAAAATTAAATCCTCATGTGTTCTATTTACTACTATTAAGAAATAGTTCATATCTTTTTTCTTTTGTAAGAAATGACAAGTTGTTCCAATATGAATTAAAGTTTATAATTTTTTATTGATACATCAGTCTTATTTTTTCTCATAAACCTGCGTCGAATACGTTTTTTTAATCGAGAATTTATTAGAAACTGTCTCTCTATCCCACAAAGATAGATGTAAGATATGTACATCCTACTTATTTATTTATTTATTTATCGTGTTGTATTGTCAAATCCATTTGTAATGAGAAACTATTCCATTTTATGTGACGATCAATTTAGTGTGATTGTCTCGTTACCTTTTTCTTCTCGTTAAGACTATTACTTATGTGTATGACGTAACGAAAAGTACTATCTATCTTTTCCACAAATACGATACATTATGAAATATTTGTAAGTTCAAATTTATTGCTGAAGTTTTTCATTATTATATAACGATGAAAATGTTCATTTTACGTAACGATCGACTTGAATACCAAGCAAAGTAAAACAACTGAGGTCCAGCCAAGCCTCTCACTCAAAGTGATCATTTCCTCCTATATAACCACCCATTTCCCCCCTCCTCCTCCTCCATCCGCGATCGCAAGCATGGAGGCGAAATGCACCCAACCACCCTCCTCCGCCACGAGAATCAGACGAACCACCAGCACCAACGGAAGTGGAGCCGGAAACGGACCCATCATTCTCGGCAAGTACCAACTTGGCCGTTTTTTAGGCCGTGGTAGCTTTGCTAAAGTCTACCACGGCCTTTGTTTAGACGATAACACAAATATCGCCATCAAAGTTATCGATAAAAAATCGATCATTGGCACCGATGTCTCAATGGAGCCCCGAATCATACGTGAAATCTCCGCCATGTCCCGTCTTAATCATCCCAACATAATAAAACTCAATGAAGTAATGGCTACGAAATCCAAAATCTACCTTGTCATGGAGATCGCCTCCAGAGGCGATCTCCATGCTAAGCTTATCCGTCATGGACGGTTCTCTGATTCCACTGCTCGTTTCTACTTCCACCAATTAGTCTCCGCTCTCCATTACTGCCATCAAAATGGCGTTACTCATCGCGATATCAAACCTCAAAACATTCTTCTTGATCAAAATAACAACCTCAAAATCTCCGATTTCGGGCTCTCCGCCTTGCCTGAACAGCTGAAAAACGGTCTCCTTCATACAGCTTGCGGTACACCAGGTTATACAGCTCCAGAGGTAGCATACAGAAAGGGATACAATGGCGAAAAGGCGGATTCATGGTCTTGTGGGGTAATTCTATTTGCATTTCTATCTGGATATCTTCCATTTGATTCTGGCAATTTATCAAACATGTACCGTGCAATACATCGTCGCGATTTTCGATTCCCTAATTGGGTTTCAAAATCAGCTCGGAGTGTAATTAACAAGTTACTCGATCCAAATCCGAGTACTAGATTAAGTATTGAGCAACTAATGAAGCTTTCATGGTTTAAGAAATCGAATCAACAACAAAAATCAAGCGATTGTGTGTTCGAAAAAAATCGTACAAATTTGGGCGGGATAAATGCATTTGACATAATATCAATGTCATCAGGGTTGAATTTATCGAGGTTATTCGAGAGCGATTTGAGCAAGAGAGAGATGAAGTTTACGACGAATACTCGAATTGAGGAGGTTGAAGAGAAGGTGATGAAAATTGGAGAAGAAGGAGGGTATAGAGTTGAAAGAGGGAAGGGAAAGGGAATTGAGTTGGTTAAAGGGAGAGTTGTTTTAATGGTGGAAATTTTGGAGGTGGCAATGGAGTTGTTGTTGGTTGAAGTTAAGGTTGTTAATAATGGAGGATTGGAATTTGATGATTCTCAATGGGAGGAATTGAAATTCGGGATGAATGATATTTGTAGTTTCATGGTACAATGACGAGTCTTGATGGGAAAGGTGGAGGACTCTTAACGAAATTCACTAGTTTTGATTCAATTAATCTAAATTCATATTACGTTAAGGTTCAGTATAGTAGAGGAGGTTTATGATGAATTCACCTCACATAGGGTACATTAAGTGGGGAAGCGCTTCTTACGAGTTCTTGTTTCTTCATTCTTAGAGCTTGAAATCGATCCATTATGAGGTATTTCCTACGAGTTCCTTCGTTCCTAGAGCTTGACACTAGTCCACTATATATAGTAGGAAATGTTTCCTACGAGTTTCTTCATTCTTCGAGCTTAATATTGATCCATTATATTGGGAAGTGCTTCTTATGACTTTCTTCATTTTTAGATCTTGACGCTCAATCCACTATAGCAGAAGACGCTTCTTACGAGTTTGCTCTCTGATATTTTTGAATGTATAGGCATGTTGTTCTTGTTGGTTGTTAAGATTTTTTATTTATTTTTGAATAATATTTTGTAAATAAAATCCTCTTCTTGATTTTTAGTTGCAAATATGTTTTCGCTAGTTCCTTTATATAAGAAATGAGTATGTTAATTTGATATATGATTTTAGGCTAGAACAAAGATATGTTTGAAACTATGAAATCAATCTTTTTCTTTAATTATTTTTTTACCTGAATTAAAATGAGTTGAATTAATAAATAGAAAGATTATTAACCTGCTCAAACTTAAGGGTTCATATTTTCTTAGGATATTATTGGCATACTTGCTATAATTTACATCAAATTATGTCAATTTATCATACTCAAGTGATTTGATAAGGTATGAATACATAAGGATTAATCATGATAAAGCAATATAAGAGTATGTAAACACATACAATTATTTATTGAGTTGATATAAACATCAAGTGTGAATAACTTTCTTTTTATTGTATAGAAAGTTGTAAAAAAAACACTTCAACTTCTTTATCAAAAGGGTGATAGGATCAATATGTAAGTGTTTAGTCTCCATAAGATAGAAAAAGTTATTTACAATCAATGTTTACACCTACTTGAAAATATTTGTGATGGTCTTTATATTTCAACAAGGATAAGGTATTAGAAGTTGCTATCCGATTTGCACATTATAATTTTCAAAAGAAAGGGATTGAGTCCACTCACTTTATCAGAACCAGCACCATCAAGACCACCACTGCGACCATTTATAGCCATCACAACCATTGCTACCACCAATTACCGCCATTGCAGTCACTGCCACCACTAATCATCACCATCATAAACATCACTGTCATCAATCACCACCATCCTAATCTCCGCCGCCATCGATCATCATTGTCATTAAAACAGTACTATCATTATAACTTATTAAATTAAAGAAAATAACAAAAACACAAGCCGTCTTAGCTCAGTGGTAGAGCGCGTGGCTTTTAACCACGTGGTCGTGGGTTCGATCCCCACAGACGGCGACTTTTATTTTTTATTTCTTTTATTTTGAGACTTATATTAATTTATTTTATATTTTATTGGCTTAAAGAAGAATAAAAGAAAAAATTAATCATTTTCTTTATGTCAATTATATTAAGAACTCTACCACTAGACGCTACTACACAATTACGGAGTTGTTTGATACGTAGGATAAGGATAATAATCTCGAAATAGAATTTGAAATTAACTTTATTTCATGATTGATTTGAGATATTAGCTAATCACGAAATTATTTTATTCCATCATTTGTACTAAAAAATGAGATATTCTTATTTATCTCATCCTAACAACCCGTATACTTGTCATTTACAATAGAAATTTAAACAAGGATTCCAAATTAATAGCCCATACATTTTTTACTTGATTTACATCATTAATTTGAGTTGCACAAGTATTATGACACAAAGATCCTTTTTTTTTGTAACATTAGAATTAGATAAAAGAGATCAATTTAACAATTTAGTAAATTGTGATGTACAATAAATCATTCTGACTAGTGACTGATATCAGAGGAGTCGGGTCTTTACAAAGGAAACGATCTCTTATGACCACTTACAATTTGAATAGAAAAAACCGACCCCACGAATCTCATGTCCTGTGTTTATTTTTTACTGATCTCCTGTGAAAAGGGTCATAAATGGACTACAAAACCAAATCTCCCGTCTTCAAGTTGGATTGTGACTTTTGGTTAAGACATGAATCTATTTGCAGTACTTCTTAAACCACACTCCAATGTTCAGAAAGCTTTCAAAATCAGATTGTGGTCTGCAAAACAGATGTGTATGTGTAAGTTCACAACATTAAAGTGAAGTAAAATCTTATGTTGCTCGGACGCTTCAAAAATGCCGATGGTTCCATGTCGGATCTTCCAAAAGTCAGTGCACTTTTGGAGCATCCGCGCGGATTCAACATCATTGTGGAGATTCCGAGTAACATAGCATGAGACCAGTTTACCTATCGAGTGCATGAGTGTCCTCAGGGAACATGATGACTTTAACTTCCACTCCTCCTTTCTCCTTCAATGCGCGTGCATACTGCACACAATAAGAGTGAAAGGCATACTTGAGTTATACATCGTATTGAAATAAAACCATAAGTTAAAAACGCCATTAGTCATTAAGCCGGGACAAATAGTAATGTAATGGTTCCATTAGACCATATTAGCATTATTGGTGTATAGACAATAAGTAACCCGCCTTCATCTCACAGATTTACGTGGTTCATTGATTCATATTGCCGATTGGCATTGGCAGACAAAACATTTTTGGTCCACAGATGATTGGCTACTACAGTTCATTAGTAAATACAAAGGTTGAAGGTTGCCTTACAAATAGAGCCAACAATTAGACTTCACAAAGATATTGTCGTGTTTTGGATGGATCTGTATTTCTTTTACTTTTTTCATTGTTTATGGATGGATGCATAGTTGTTCAAAGAGAATCAAAAGGTAAGTATAGACTATGTATCAGCAGACATACATAACCAATAAAAGGTGCAACTAGGAAAGATGATATGGAATCATGATGGATATTCATAATTGTGAACTTGCTCATACCGTTCACATTTAAGAATGAAAACTTATGTTCAACAAATAAAACAAGAAACAAGAAAGATCATAGATTATAAGAAATCTCACTTGCAACCCAGTAGACATTGGTACACGGAGGTCCTTAGCACCTAGCAAGAAAAGCGTAGGAGTTCTGACCTGCAAAATTGGCAAGCATAAGATGCTAGAGATGCATTCCTAACAGATTCACACGTCTAACAGTCATCCTTTATAACAACATTTCACTACCCAGGGCATGTTACGTTCTATTTTTTATTTTTGATAACCGTGGTGTCCGGGCCAACTTTCACACACATCGACTAATTCCATGGATACTTGTCACCTCCCACTAACAACAGGTATCAGGTAATGTTATGTTATATTATATGTTTGCTATAACATCAGTTCTCTATAGCAGCCAAAAAATATCCGGACAAATGACACCATTATACTGAGGTTTGATTGTAACAGGATCTGTGATCCTTGAAATCTAGCATGACTTATAACTTCAGTCTATTCTGCAATTTAAACATAGGCCTTTCTAGAGAACTAACAGAAAGACAGTGCTTAAAATGGAATGACTGTCGAATCCAGATTTAATAGAGGCGCATACCTTGGAGACGTGTAAAATTGGTGATTTTCTGTAAAAGGCATCAAGGTGTTCAGATGAAGTAGCCTCTGTAAAATTTGTTTTTCCCTCTTCTCCAAATGTCTCTGCGTAGCACCAATCAGGTATATCCGATGTACCAACCATCAAAGCGAGGTTGCAGACAGGGTTCCTTGCAACTGCTGCTGCAAACTTATCTGGTGCCTGCAGAAATAGTAGCAGAACTGTCAAGCAATAGTCGTTAAGAAAGACAAGCTTGTCCAGCTTCCCTTATTAAGGGCCACAAATGTTTGTTGAACAAAGCCTTGAAGGACCAAAAGTTGAGAAAAATGGGTACATAGGAACCATAAAGATGGTGGCATATTAGGAAATTGGTAGACCTGGCCAATCAAATGAGTTGTCAAAAATCCACCATGGGAACCGCCGAGCACAGATATTTTAGATGGATCTGCAAGTCCCTTTTCAATGACATGATCTATAGCAGCAAGCACATCATTAACATCCTGCAGATTAGGGAAAAAAGAGGAAGAACACTCTTAGGTTCCAAATGCTTAATAGAATTATTATGAAAAAGAAGGAATTGTATTTCATATAACAAAACCATTCAAGCCTAAACAAAATTAAGGAAGAAATCTTTTCAAGGGAAAGAAAACGAAAAGACGGCAAACAAGTACCTGTGATCCAATTTTCCCAGGAAGAGATTGTACTGCTTCCTCCCCAAAACCCAAGGAGCCTCTGTGAGAAGGAGATTAAATAAAAAAGTGCTTAATCAAAATTCAAAGCAATTACTGCTCCTTACCCAAAAAATAAAATACAGCAAACAAGATATTCAGAGATTTTATATCTAAAATATATATATATACGGATGTCCAATATATATGCACGACCTATAATATTAGTGTAGCATCTCATATACATTACTAGTATTTCACAGTTGGTGTTATATTTCAATAACCATTTGAATTAACAGAGGCATGAAGAAAGAAGTCAGTTATGTTGGTTACCTATAATTTACAATCAACAAGCTATAACCAAGTGAAGAAAGGAAAGCCAAGGACTTTGAGAAGCTTGACAATGAAACAGAATGAGGACCCCCGTGAAGGACTACAATCAGCGGATCACACACGTTACAACTCTGAGTCTTGGAGGATACAAAGATTGCCTCATATGGCTTGCTGGCACCTAACAAGAATAAAACTCATTGAAGATCATAGTAGAAACAGCAGAGATTAGTAATCTAGAAGGATTCAAGCATCTATTGATCTGCGGATAGCATAAGAGGTCACAATCATGTGTTGATCCATGAATTTATAGAACTCCCCTCAAAGCTCAACGGGGTTCTTACCTTTAGTAAGGTTCTCAGAGATATCCCTGACGGGAATCCTCATAATACTAAATTGGCGCGAAGACAGCAAAGATGTAACCTGTGAGCATTGTTGGGAACATTTAAATTCAGAAAGCCTTCCTAACAAGAAAATGCCAAATAGAACAAACTAAGATGGAATTATAATAAAGGAAAACAAAAGAAACAACGAAAAACAGACTGACCTTTTCAGAGCATCTAGATATGGGGCTTGAAATATCTAACCAACTCCATGAGGTCTCCACGGAGGCCTTACGAGCAAGGGAACCATACTTGATTGCAGGAACATCAACGGGACTACTACAAACTTCAACCGGAAGAAAATGCCAGATTCTTTGATTAATGGGAATACTATTATAGAAACCAATATGAAGTATACTATTATAGGAACCAATATGAAGTAAAGTATGAACACTGATTCCTACCAGCTATGATGTTGTCACCATCTAGTGCAAGCATATTCCAAGAGAAGCTAGAGTCTCCAGGGCTGATCCGCGATATGTTTCCACTATTATTTTTGATAAAGACGAATTTCACTATTATTAACTCATTGGTACAGAAAAAGAATTCATGCTTGAGCAGCAAAATATTTGGTTACCTTATCACATTTACTGAAATTATTACTTGTGTGCTGCCCCAGATAGAAGATAAAATCATAGTATATCCATCGGAAAGCCAAGGTCTACTAAGAACACTAAAGCAGTAAAGGCCAGGGAAGCAACCATCTTCAGGACACATCACAATAGGAACCTGCAGTTGCCACTTACAGCATGAACAGGTGTGCTGACTGTAGGATAAAGCTTGGAATCAATACAACAACACACATAGTGTAGTCCCACAATGTGCAATCTGGGGAGGGTAGAGTGTACGCAAACCCTACCCCTACCTCAGAGTTAGAGGGGCTGTTGCCGATAGACCCTTGGCTCAAAGCTCGGAATCAATAAAAAAGTAAATAGTACTTCTAAAATGGCTAATAATAACTAGCCTCAAAGTGCTGATGCAAGTAATCAGAATCACAAAAACTGAGTGTACCACATCAACAATTGTAACATCTGGAGTTGGCTTTCCGCTGAATGACCAATCAATCTTATGAAGTGAATCAGTTGCAGAATGTGCCCAAGAATCTACTGAACTTCTAGCAGACAAAAAAATAAGCAATTTTCCATCCGGGCTGCAAGTTTTTTTTGGAAAGACTAGTTAGTTCCATTTTATCAAACAAACTAGCCACAGCAGTTAAAAGACACGAGAAGATGCAAGATTCCTTACACGGAACCAACTAATGTTATTCAAACGTTATCTTATAGAGAAGGAATTAGGGGAATGAATTCTTCATCAACACATCTCCTTTCTCCTTTTTTTTTCTTTCACTCCATTTTACTCTGGGGACCAGGGGAGGGAGTTGGTCAGACAAGTAATTCAAGACAAACCTGAAACGAGGAAAGAAAGCACTACTTATGCTTTGTGTCAGCTTGATTGGAGATACATCGTTGGCTGCATTAGTTCTGAAAGTGACAAAAAGTCAATTGAGACTACAAAAACAGCATAAATCAAATATAAGGGAATTCTCCACTAAATTAGTCCCCTATGTACTACATTCATGCAGTAACAAATGTAGTTAATCCATAACATGTTCGTTTCTGACAACTAGCAAGTTACTTACCCAGATTGATGGACCTCTACCTTTGAAAATGGAGCTTTAACAGCATACAAGGCACAAGGCCTGTTATAGCAATATTTTATGCCCAACTTTCTATTATCTGATGGCCACCCGACAAAAACCAGATATTGTTCAAGGCCTTCACGGGATGGAGCCCATACAACTTGTCCGACACTCAGTGACTTTCCGATTCCTTCAACAGGACGTACTACTCCACTGCACAAATTTATATTTAGGGTTTCTATCCAAGACATCAGAACTCGATCCTGTTACCAGTCTGATATAAGAAAATATAGTAAATTTTCAAACCTGTTGACATCAATGATGAAAAGAGCAGGTTGTCTTTTTCCAGCATAGGTTTCCCCCCACTCCTCTTCCCAGTCCCCTTGACCTTTCCAGCTCCCACATTCCTTATCTGTAGAATTATCTTTCTTATAACCAAAAGTAGTAAATGTAGGCTTCGAGGGAGCCGGCTCCTCAGCGACATAAGCAATAAGAGTTTCATCACTGTTCCATGATATTCCCTCAAACCTGCATTATCAAATAGTAACACACATTGAGTCTATGAATGGGGATGTGAGGTAAGTAAAGTGATGTTTAGTTCATATAATAACTACCATCCATCTGAATATACAGAGCCGTGGGCAGAAGCAGGAACATAAAACTCCTTTTCCACCAAAGATGGACCCCAAATTTCAAACTTGGTCGGAGAATCATTTTCAGGATTTCTAACTACAAGAAGCTTTGAACCTGAAGGTGATGGAATCATCATAGACACATTGGACATCTCAATAGGGAATGCAGCCCATTGAAAGCTTACAGCATTTGTGCTTTCTTTTGAAATATGACAAGGTAATATGTATCTCCTCTTCTTGTTGGCTAGGAGATTTGGTTGGCTCATCGAGAACATACCCTGGGAACCTTGAAAGGTAGAAAAAGGGTTACAAACTAGCAGCAGTTAAAGAATAAGCATAATATATTAAGCGGGAAGGCAAGAATTTAATTAGTACTACGCAATTCTTTATTCTCCAGGTAAGATTAACTATAGTTTATCTACCAAAAAAAAGAGAATAAAGAAGTAAAGAAATCATACCACCGTCAGATGTGAAAGTCCATGCCTTGTCAATGGTGGGGATACTAGTGAAATCTTGGAGCAAACTAGATTGAGAAGAGTATTCTTCTTCTAAACTCGCATCCAATCCCAAAGGAAATTCTTTAGGAGAGCTGGCTCCCACACTATCCATTTTGGAGAAAACTGAGAAACTTTGTCTAGTAATCAAGCACAAAAAAAGAAGACCAATTAATATAGAGAAGTTCACAAGGATCAAGGAAATGTTAGTTTCCAATCAAAAAAACAATATCAGGAAACTGTAGACCCCCTCTCTATCCCTCCCCAGCTCTGATATATACAGGAAAAGGGAGTCTAATAATGATGGACACATTTTTTCCGTCTTGAGTGCTTACAGAATGTAATGACAAGATGGAGGTAAGTGACAAAGAAACAAACAAACAAGTGTTTGTACTTCATTAATGAAAGTTTTGAGACCGGTAGTGAAAGAAACTCAAACAACGAATAACTAAATACTACATCATTTTGATTTTTCTACTACTCATTGGATAAATGGAACTTCCTCTTTTTGTTTTCTTTCTTTTTTATGAAAAAAAGGGATCTTTTTCCTGGTAATGTACAACTCGATTCAAGTAAAAATATGATCTTCTCAGAATCATTCACAAGAATCAACATTTGATCCAAGTTTCGATTCAGTAATCTCCCTCCCCCCCAACCCCTCCCTCAAAGAAAAAATCAGATAGTACGCAAAATGAAAACTTGCTAAATGGTATCTGAAATTCTGAATGTAATCAAGACAGAATCAGTATTATACAAAGATTAGAGCAAATATTAGCATAATCAAGATAGACAAAAAAGAGAACCTACATTTTCTCCTTTCTTTTTCAACACTTATCCGAGTACTAGTCAACCTTTGCACCATATGGCACAAAATACACAAAAATCCAAGATAAGCTAAGGAAATGGTAGAAAATCAACAAGAAAAAGACCCCATACCCTCAAATAAAGAATCAGATGGTTCTACAAAGTGAAAACTTGCTAAATGCAATCTGAAATCACTGAATGTAATCAAGTCAGAATCAGTACAACTATACGAAGATTTGAGTAAATATTAGCAAAATAAAGATAGATAGAAATAAAATTTACTTGTTGAGCCAAAAGGGTCTGCAGGAAATAGGCTTGTGCTGCTTGAGAAGTCGAGTTTCAGACGAAAATGGGGGAAAACGATGAGAGTGCAGTAGAACTGAGACGAAGGAGTGAGTGCGTATTGCAGCTAAGGGAGAAAGTATATTAGTCATAGTCCACAATATTTTACTTTTTAATCAGATTGGCTCCTTTTTTTTAGTTTAAAGTTGTTCATATTGGCCCAAACATCACTTAATTGGTCTCGTCTCAATTAAAAACTAAACACTTCAATTCATTTTTATTAGATCTTATCGACATTTTTATTGACATGAAATAAATTTTGAACACTATTTTATAAGTTGGAATGTCTACCTCACAAAGTAAAGTATTTATATATTTCAAATTAAAGTGTTTAATTGTCAAATAAATCATAATTAAGCATGTTTTATAATTTTTTATCAACCTCAACTTATAAATAGTTATGATCAAGTCCAACTTATTAATCACATTTTTAGCTTTCTACTTAGAAATCACATTTGTGGATTCACCCACAATGTTTATTTGCATTTATAGTTCCGTTTTATAAATAGTTTCGAGTCTATCTTATTATCCATTGATCATGATTTATTAATTGTAGTTATTGAGTCCGATTTTATAAGGAGTAAAAAACACATTTATTGATCATGACTTTATAGCCTATTTGATTGAGTTTTTGAAAAGCCAAAAGTTACTATTGATCTCTCATATTAGTTGATCATTTTTTATTTTGTACCGTGTTTAAGAAATGACAAATAAAAAGATATTTTTACTAATTCACCTCTTTAAAAACTTGTTGGTAATTTGATAAATATGTGAACATTTTTAAAAAAAAATTAATTATAAAGGCAATATAACTCAATAAACCCAAACTCCGGCAAACTCCGGCATGGCGAACAACCCACCGGAGGTATATGCTGCCGATGATTTTCTCCAGCAAATTCTGGCGATTCCCTCTTATGCTAGCCTGCCGGTAACTGATATAAGCGCCGGTACCTCATCGGAGAATTCAGCATCTGGTATCTCTCAGCTCCAGCATCAGCGGCTGTTCCCGTTGGGGTTAAGCTTGGACAATGGCTTTGCTGATGCCAACAACACTGGAGGTTTTCAAGTGAAGACTGTAAGCCTACTACTTCCTCAATTCCAATTTGTCTGACACTTTACGGAAAAGTATGTACCTTTTTACTTGTTCCTCTAGGAGTTCATAATCAAGGACGAAATAAAAAGGAATAATCCATAGATAGAGATTTTAACGTGACCTCAACTAGCAAGTAGCAACTAAACACTTCAACTTCGAGTATGCACATCTATACACCTGAACTATCTTCACTCCCCAAACTTACAAAATGACCTCCAAAATTTATGTGCTATACCGGCCCCGGTGTCCACGAGACACAATGGGTACAGGTTGGAGGGTTTAGTTGCCGAATTGACCAAGTTGAGGTTTCTAGATGTGCACTCTCAAAAAGTCGGAGTGCTTACTTGTCAATGCTAAAGTCAAGTTTGAGGGTCTGTCCATGTATTATGATTTATGACAAATAAAAATATAGATGTTGGAGTTCATGAATGTGAAGTTGTGTCTTTTTTTCTTCTTTTGAAAGATAAAAAAGGCAGTGGGCCAAACAAATTGGGACAATGGAAGTTTTTCTATTGTGAAAATTTTGAACTCAATTCATAGTATTTTAGAGTTTTTTGGTTTACTTCTGTTTTGCAGTGCCTCCTTGATGATACTTGCATAAGTGAAATGTACTTACTTAATCAAAATAATCAGTGTATTTAGAGTTTAGCTGGTGTGGGGAAGGAACTGGATATGCATTTCAAAAGGAGTAAGCTCGGGGGATAGTACCATTTTTTTATTTGTTATTCATGTTCTTTTGCAGGAAAGAGAAGCAATGGACATGGGGAATTTATACCCAGGTCTAGAACATTTGCAATCTCATGCTGTTTGCCTCAGTGTTCCTCAAGTTCACCAAGTCCAGGTTACATATTTCTGTTTTTTCACTACACTATTGTTTCATAGTAATTACATTTTTTATTCTTTTAGACTAGTATTTCCATATAATATCAGCAAGCTTAAATAAATCAATTTAATTACTTTACGTAAAGTAGCTGTTGAGAATTTAATCACTAGTATACTTGTTGGAAACCTGGTTTTGCCCGTTATTTGATATGGGTCCTTGTAGTAAGATTGCTATTGTTTCTAGAGTTTTAGTTTGGTGATGATGAAGGGACCAGAGTGAGTTGAAGAATGTAATAACTAGGCAAATATGGAAATCATCACTACTATCTCTACATAACAGAGATAATAGAAATCGTCTTCAAGAAGCATCAACTCCCAATAGACTCAAGGGTGTGGTCTAGTGGTCAATGAAGTGGGTTGAGCACCATGAGGTCTCAGGTGCAAATCCAACAGAGATAAAAACAATAGGTGATCTCTTCTCATATGTTCTAGCCTTGGTGGACAGAGTTACCCGCCTGTTGTTGGTGGGGATAGTAGTAGCCTAGTAGGTATCCCCTGGAATTAGTCGAGGTGCTCGCGAGCTAGCCTGGACACCACGGCTATAAAAAAAAAAGCATCAACTCCCAATATAAAATTGACAGGCTGCTGAATCTTTTTTGACCTCTTAGCTTCAGATACTTAATGTTCCTAGTAAAGGTGAAAAAATTGCACCTTTTGTTCCACAAGAAGATGTCTATTTTATTTGTGTACTTCACATTAGCTGGACATCTACATTTTTGCTATGGATCATAAGGAAGGGGAGACAGTGAAAGGCTTTATCATATTCTTTTGTTGCTTCCTTCTGTGATAGCTTGTTTCTAAAATCTTGAGTAGTGGTGGCAATTTCAGCTCAAAATTGTTTTGACCCGCCCAAACCATCGATGTTAAACCACCCATTTGGAATATGGGCTAACATGAGTCCACCCAGTTTTCAAACCGTGATTCTTTTTGCATTAGTTTTTATGTATTTCATTTATCCCTCACTTCCTAATTCCAGTTTAGTTGCATGCAACAGGCTTGACGAGTCTTATATTGATATAATTTTTTTTTAAATGTGGCATCTTTGTCAGTTTATGATTTATATCTGTTATTTACTAATAGATCTCTTAACTTCTCTTTGGTTCTTGCAGCCTTTTCAAGGCCACCCAACATCAAGCACAACAGTAACAATACCACACCAACCTGCAATTCGTCCTATGGTTCGGGCACGAAGAGGACAGGCCACTGATCCACATAGTATTGCTGAGCGGGTAATATAGCTAATATATTTAGGTGTTTTTCAGGAGAACATTAAGCTGTGTTGATTCTCAAAAAAATTAAATCAATTATGTTGTAAAATGTGGGGGCCTGTGGATAATGCTCTAGAAACAAGTGCCTGAATAATGTGTCTGTCTCTTTACAGTTAAGGAGAGAAAGGATATCAGAACGAATAAAGGCTTTGCAGGAACTTGTCCCCAGCTGCAATAAGGTGTGCTCTATTCTCTTGTTGCCACAAATTCCATTGATGAGCATTCGTTTTCTTGTTGCGACAGATAACAATTCAGGCTCATTCAATCTTAAAGCTATATATTCCAAATAATGGAAATATTAACTTTTGTGCTGACCCATCGTTTATCATGATGTTAAAATACCAATACCTAAAATTGGAAAAATAGTAATCTTTTGTTATAACAACTTCCTGTTGGAGTTTGACTGTTGCTTAATGGATTCAAGTTACTAAATATGAAAATTGGCTGCAATTTTCAGACAAGTTATTCCTAAACTTCATTGTAATTGGTACTTTCTAAGAATTGGCTCACTGCAGTTTTATTTTTAAAGATACAAGTTGGTATTATTCAGTTACAGATGCAATTCAAAAGATGTCATAACTTGTGGTATTGATATTTTTTTTCTGTCTTGCCAGACCGACAGGGCAGCAATGCTTGATGAGATTCTGGACTATGTGAAGTTCTTAAGGCTTCAAGTTAAGGTAATTTGTTGATTATTATCAGGAAAAAACTTTTTTTTAAAAGTAAGGTAATTTGACGGTCAACTAATTTTCAAGCCAACTACTAGCTTAGCTGATGATTCAGTATCGTCTAGCCATTATATTCCATGACAAACATCACTAAAGTCTTGCAATTTCGAGTTATCTACAACAGCACTGGTTCTTTTTGTTTTTTTTCTGCCATATGATTTCATTCTCGTTTTGGATAATGGAACCGGTCTATTGATATGGGGAACATATTAAGCCACCACCTCCACGAAAAAATAAGCTAGTCTAAGACATTCTGAGAAGTTCACAATCTGTTTGTGAATTTTCGTGGTGGTGTTTAATAATTCTTTGTTTGGGTATATCTTTGCCAACCTCAACTAGCTTCATTCTGTGAGTTGGGATGAAGTGGACGCATTGAAGGTTATTGACTTAACATCACCTTAACCGTACACTCCGAAGGATTACACTGTGTTTCCATTAATTTATTTTGCTTCCTTGCAAGTTTAATGCACCTTGTAGTTTGCTAATGAGCAATAATACTCTTAGGGGTCGTTTGGTACGGGGGATGGGATAGACAGTTATCCCTTGATTGGGACATCCCATAGGATTAGTTATCCCAATTTCCACAATTTATATGGGATAGCTAATCCTATCATTTTATTTCAAATGGAATTAATACCTCTAACCAAATGCAAATAATCCTGTATTTTATCCCAAAATTATTATCCCTTATCCCCCGTACCAAACGGCCCCTTAGTGATTTCAATTTTTGCTTGATAATTCAAACTGCAGGTTATCCTTGCATCAACCATTCTAAGAGTGTTTCAATTTTCAAAATATAAAAAGAAGAAAGAATCTCGTCCAACACTGGTTCAACTTGTTTCTTTCCATCAATTGAAATTCTTCTTCCTCTTTTCCCTCCCATTAAACAAATAACCTCGCCGAGGATGGATGGTGGCTCTTAAAGTCTTGTCTAGTTGAAACATTATTTAATGAATTTACTGGCTGAAATCTGTAATTGAATATTAATGATCATCATCTTAGTCATGTTTAAAGCTCTTAATCTTTTACCATTGTACTTTGTTTTGGTCATCATTGCAATCTTTTAAGGGAGTTCTGGCTGTAGTAAAGGTTGGACAAATTAAATACATGAATAAACCGCCCCTTATTAGTTCTCCTAATTATGTTGATTGAATAAATGATTTGCCTTAAATCTGCCTAAAGGTACTGAGCATGAGTAGGCTGGGAGGAGCTAGCGCGGTGGCACAACTTGTTGCTGATATTCCATTGCAGTCTGTTGAGGTAATGAACACAATCACTCGTTTCTGCTTCTAACTAACTGAACATCGTAAAAAATACCTCTATAGTTTCTGATTACTCAACTGTAAGATTGCTACATTTTCTCCAAGACTTCAGTGTTTCGTCATTATTTTAGGGAGACAGCTGTGAAAGTCGATCCAACCAGCACGTCTGGGAGAAATGGTCCGATTCTGAAACAGAACAAGAGGTAGCAAAGCTCATGGAGGAAGATGTTGGAACAGCCATGCAGTACCTTCAATCGAAATCACTCTGCATCATGCCTGTTTCACTTGCTGCACTTATCTATCCTACTCAGCAAACCGACAACCAATCAATGGTCAAGCCAGAACCAACGGCCCCATCGTAGACTTCTAAGTTATTGCAGGTGCAATCAAGAACTCCTAATTTCTTTTTGGCCCATCCGTCTATATATCCTTACCTATTTTCTCTTGTATCACCCTCTGAAATCCTTCGGCAATGCAATCAAACACAATTTTTGCTTTTAGCTCAACCATTGGCCCCTTTATCAACTTTCTTGAGTTTAGTCACACCTTGAACAAAGGCAACACTTAAGAGAGCAACCAATCCATTTGTATCATTGTAGGGAGGAGTGTATTTTTTTTTTTTTCAAACTCTCTGTTATTAGTTGCTTGTTCCCCCTTTTTTCTTGTGGGTTGGTTGTGACTCCTTGTATCTTTTTTATAGTGGATAGCTAGTAATGTATTATAAAAGAAAATTGTCCCAGATTGCATTTGGTGGACTGTGTGGGGAGAAAGAAACCAAGTTTGTTTGAAGACAAAGTCATTAGTATACAGAAACTAAAGATGAAATGTTTAGGGCTTTTCTTTTTTTGGTGTAAACATAGCTTAATGGAGGATTTAGAATATGATGTACTAGATTCCTTATGAGAAGATTAAGGATTAGGAGCTTCTTCTTCTTTTTTCTTTTTATTTTTTTGCTCATCTGGATGTAAATATGGGGGACTTACACACCCTTCGTGTAGTTTGTTATTAATACACAAAAATGTTACCTGTTCAAAAAAAAGTAATTATAAAAGTGATCAACTGGCACTTTGTAAAGTGTATTGTAATTAAAAATGGAAATTGGAGAACAAAACATACTTTTCATATCAAGAATTGAAAAGCAAAAATACAATGTGTTTTTGTACAATTGGTTTCACAGCCAAAAAAAAAAAAGTACAGTTACTTTGTATGTTTGAAGGGGAGATTATCTCAGTCTCAAAAAAATATGCAGGATTTCTAGACCACCATGGTTTATCCCCTGCTATATATATGATGTTACAACAAGAACAAAAACGAAAAAGTAACTGCAATTACTAAGTCTTTTTTCTGTTTGATTACAGTGTTTCAAAATAAATAAATAAATCAATTTCAAGATTCTTCTAAACAGAGAAATCTTCATAAAAGCCTCAAAAATGCGTGTGGTATATTTATATATATCATAGTTCACATGATCCCAAGCCTCTTGCTTCTGATCCTTTCATTATCCTCAGCCTCTTGCATGATGACACGAACATTCTGCAATATCCATGAAAATAATCTCATTAAAATCCATGCTTAGACATGTAACTTATATAAAATTAAGTTATATACATTGACAGTGTAAAGATTTTTTACACGATCTATGTATTTTAACTTATTATACATGTTAATTATTTACCATATTTATCAGATTACCAATTATACATATTTACCATAAGTGTTTAGCTACTTACTCCTGACTAATGCAGCTTAGCCTTTTTAAAAAAAAATACATTTTTAATAATCTTATCTTCCAAAAATTTGCTTATGATTGTGTAACAATTCTTTTAACAAGAAGTGGAGTGGTGGTCAAGGTTCAAGAACTTACTCTCGACCAATGCAGTTTAACCTATATTAGCAAATTAATTGTTATTTTTATCAGATTTATCAATCATATGTATTTGTTTACAACTACCTTATAAATGACCTGATTGTGCAACTATTTTTAATGGTAATAGTTCGGGGTGGGGTGAGTGAAGGTTCAAGAACTTACTCCCAAGGAACATCTCCAACAAGCATCAAATCGCCTTCTTTATCTTCATAAGCAGGTGCAAATTCTGACCCTTTATAGCCTTCCCTCTCTGAATATTCACCTATGTTGAGCTTGAACATTTTCTCCATTGCTTTAAGGAGTTCAGTGTAACACTTGTACATTTTAAGATCAATTTTTCTAAGAAAAGGGGCTCCATCCATGCTAACTTTGACATAGATTCCACACTGATCTTGATGAGCTTCTGTTTTCTTTGTAGTAATTTGTAAGGTGTTCTTCCGGTAAGATCTCACTGGTGGCCACCCCACTATTTGTGCCCTGCAATTAAGTAGGCGGAGCCAGAATTTTGAGTTAATGCGTTCTAAATTCTAATAAATAGAAAAACAGCTTATTGGATTCTGGATACGTTGTTTATATATATTAAGTGGATCTCTTCAGAAAAATACAGGATTTTGACCAAAGGTATTAGTTCTGCTTCCTCTCTAGCTTTTGCCCCTACTCATTCAAGACTTGAAAAAAAGTAACCCCTCTTTTTTTATTTTATGTGTGGCATCGTTTCTTTTTAGTTGATTTACAAGAATAATAGTTTTCTAAATTTGGAAATAAATTTAATAGAACTTTCCATTTTACCATAGCCTATCTTGCTCAGATCCTCCAAAAGTATCGCCACAGCCATGTCAGATCTTTCAAAAATAGTGCATTTTGGATGGTCAATACATGTGCAGTGGCGAATTATATAGTTACTTCTTGTTTGTGGTAGCAATTTAACTTAAAATTTCCATTCCACCCTTAGTTAAAATTATTCATTTCTCGCTTAACCGAGTTAAACAGATGGAGTATGAAACTTACTTGGCAACAGGGGGTGTTGTGGCTTCATAATCTGAACTTGATTCATCTTCATATTCAGACAAAGACCTTTTGTTATTCTTAAAATTGGGCACAATTTGTTGGTGATCAACTTCTTCCTCTGTCCCTGGCAAACCCAATCTAAGTTCTGTTGCTTTAAGATTCAAAATTTTCTCCATCCTGGTAATAAAAACTTCTGCACAACTATACCTCAAACTATAAACTCAAAGTTCTAGGTCTTTCTTGGTTTTCTTCTTCAATATTGATGTGAAGAGATTGTTTTTGACCTTGTATTTGTGTTCAAGAAAATATGAGTTAGCTAATAGTTTGTGGGTTGTTGTTATATAATGGGAAAAGGGGGAAGAGTTGGAGAATCATTAAAGAAATGTTCCAAAAGTACATAAATTTGGGACAAAGACAAGCTAAGGCTGTTGGCTGGAAGAGTAGCAACTTTGAACATGTAGGGGACAAGAGAGGGACAAGCTCACCCACATAAATGGACTAACACTCTAGAAGACTTTTTTTTTTTTTTTTCATTTAGACACTTCAACTGGACCTGTTAGTTGTTACCTGTTAGACATTTAACATATATCTAAGATATAACTCTTACCTATCGGATCAATTTCACGTGCTTTAGACAGGTGAGATATATGTTCTTTGTCCATGTCGGTTTATATATTGTGTTTAATAGGCATACATTGATTGACTGAACTCGAAGTGTTTGGTATATAATGGTCAGTTGAAGCGTTGGAATGAAAAGTCATACAACTTAAAGGGATTGTCAATATATTTGTTACCACTTTTCGTTTAGACACTTCAACTTATCCTGCTACCTATTAGACATTTAACGTATGTCTAAGATATGCCTTTTATATATCGGATCAATAAGAGACATGTTGGCCTATTCTGTTTAATAGGCATGCATTGACTGAAGTTGTTGTGTGTAATAAATTTAGGTCAATTGTTATGTCAAAATGAGAAGTGGTGAAACAACAAGGGACCAACTGTGTAGTTGGCGAAAAGGAAACAATAGAGTAAATGGTAGGATGGTTGAAATTTTCGTTCTTAATTAGAAGTTTCGAGTTTGAGCACTTTGAAATATAGAATTTCAAGGTATGAAATGCTTCGGTACGTACCTATATTAATTATTAGTAGAAGAAATGATTTGTGAATACTGAATGAAAAAATTAGAGAGAAATGAAAGCAGGGAATCAGATGCTACATTTCATGAGTACAGATTGTACTTTCTTTTTATTTTATTTTATTTTTCATATTTGTTATTATTGTTTTAGCATCCCGATTAATTCAGATTTACACCTGCGTAAAGCACATTAAAAAGAGGAACACTATTATTGTAGAACAACTAACATATTCTGAACAATCAAATCACAGATCAACTTGTCTATGTAGTTGAAAGAATGTATACAACCAACAATGACAAGACAATTCTTGGATTTTGTCAATTAGAAGCTTCATGGCAGCATATTGTTTCAAAGAAAACAAAATCAGTTTTGCTGTATTTAGGTTGTGTTTTCATTGCCTTTCATTCTCTCCTCATTATTAATTACCCCAACAAACCTGCCTGTCTTTGACATCTAATCAATGCATTCAATTTTAAGAGGGTGGAAATTAGATCACTTCCATCCATAGGCGGATCTAGAATTTAAGTTCGATAAGTTCCACCTCTAAAATAGACGAATTTAAAACCTAACATAATAAGTGGATTCAGAATGAGTTTGATCTATATATATGTGTGTGTATTGTTCGAGCTCAATAGTCCAATAAAATATACTTCCACTGTCTCAATTTATGTGACACTTTTTGAATTTCGAGATTCAAACAAGTCTATCTTTGACCGTAAATTTTTCATACATCTTTTTAATATTTTGTGTTGTTGTGACTTATAGTACTTTTTATGTAGTTTATAAATATATAAATTTCATTTCAAAAAAATTAAAGATTACATGGGTAAATTATCGGTCAAACTTAAACTGTTTGACTCTCGAAAAATGAAAAGTACCACATAAATTGGGACAAAGGGAGTACAAAAATTTGTCTCTATAAAAAATAACTTTTGAAGAGTGAGGCATAACCTATGTCGAACAACTCAAACAACCTACACCTCAAATTTTATGTACATTTAATGAATTTCTTAATGTGTATATATATATATATGAACTCGTAATCGACCCTCGAGATCCGTTCATGGACAATAATATATCCAATGTAATTCGACAAGTGGAGTCTGATGAAGGTGAAGTGTGCAATCTTACCTCTACTTTATGAAGGTATAGGTTATTTTTGATAAACCCTCGGATGTTTCTGCCATGGACTTGAGGAGAAAAAAATGGTAGGCCGAAGAACTGATGAACGCAACTCACTCTTCCCCACACGTATTTCGATGCACACGAGAGGGTATTGAAATTGGACTCTCAGTCTGCTGTTAAGACTACATGTTGGCCCAAACCTCACTTCAATATCTTCTGTTAGCACATCATAAAGGCCTTCACCACCAACCTACCTTTGGTATTCCTACTCATAGGTGGATTCAAAATTTCAATTATTAAATTTAAAAACTTTTACCATCGAATTCGTCATACTAGTTACTATCAATAATTACCATCATTAATCAACATTATATATCGCTAACCGTTATCATCATTCACCAGCCATTAGCTGTTAGCATCATTTCACTACTAATTATCAGCCGCCACCACCAAGAACCACCGTTGATCACTACTGCCAACCACTATATCATAAGATACTACTCACAACCACCATCATTAGTCAATACCATCTTAAATCGACACACACAATCACTATTGTTAGTAATCTCCGTCACTAATCGCCATGTAAATTTTTGCCACTGCCACCACCAAAGACCACAATTGATCATTGTCAATCACTATACCATAAGATACTACTCACAACCATCATTGTTAGTCAATACCATCTTAAATAGACACACACAATCACTATGGTTAGTCATCACCATCACCAATTGCCATATAATTTTTAATTTTTTTTTTATTGATATGATATTAGATCAATTTAGTATTTTATTTGAACATTATACCAAGATAAAATTTTATATATTCAAATGTTGAGAAAACAAACAATCTTAACTATTTAGTACTCAGATTTTAATGCAACATCTTAATAATCAGATGTGTATTCAAATTCAAACATCTAAATCTCAATGCATATCTTAATATTAACTTGTGCGTTCAAACTTTAACATCTTAACCTCAATAAAAACAAATAATATTAGTTTAGTTTGAAAATTAATCAAATTATAAGAAAGAAATAAAGAAATTAAAATTGGTAAGTGTTGAGCAGAGTTATTTAGCATGTTTTGGGGCCTAGTATCTCGACTTATGTAACCTTTAGAGAGTTTAATATAACTTGACCAAATATTAACTCAATTCTTTTTAATTCATTCAAATTCAATTAAACTCGCATAATTTGACTCAAAATCATTTGCTTGATAAAAATTTCAATAACCGTTTACTTGGTGAAAATAGTAAACAATATTGTATCTAGGTGAAAAACTAGATGTCATACCATTAAGGGATCTTGAAATAAATATAGATAGGAATTACCTCACTAACTAACTTACATACCCTATGCACGATAGCTATTGTTGATGAGGAGATCATAGACTCTTGATAAAATGGAATGTGATTACTTGAATCTTAGAGTTTTGATGCTATCATCGACTTGCATTGCTCAATCATTTTGAATCATGTTCAAGGCAACACTTTGATTGATAATGTGTTGGGTGTAGTTAGGACCATGTTCAAGCAGATTTCTCTGGAAGCTAGTCCACACAAAGTTCTCATCAACGAATGAAATTTGCGAGTCATTTATTTTATTTTAAGGTGAAACTCTCTTGATCGAATTTCACAAATACACACTACAAGTCTACAATACAATGATGTTTCTTTTGATATTTATTTTTACATTTTTTTAAAGGATACTTACGAGATGTTATTTTTCAAGAAGTTCTATTACTCTAAAGAAATCAGACGCTTAACACATTTTTTTTGTTTCAAACATATCAAACATAAACCAATTAATAAAAAATATCAATATAACAAGAATTCGAACAAAGTAAATATTTTCTTGATAACTACTTAATTTACGAACAAAAGCCTCAAGATTTATGATATACATATATGATCATTCACTCTTAATCAAGATATTTCGAATTCACATTTTGTGTATGAAAAGAATTTCTAAGGTACGAATATCAGATATCGAGTGAAACCCCTCCCAACCCCACCAAGAAGCCACCTAAGATCTACACTCAAGCATTTGTCACATGACTTTATCACGTGATCACACAATTTCACTATCAAAGAATCGAATCTACCCCATTAAATTTTCATTCCTCCAATCGGCGGCCCACCGCTTTCTTACTCCGTTGGCC